AGACACAACTGAGCGACTGAACTGAACTGAACTGAACATTTATTGACTAACATGTAGAGGCTTTGGGCTCAGCAACCCACATGCATCTTTTCTTTAATCCTCTCTTTATTACAGAGGCAGAGGCTATTATTACAGATAATGAGACAGAAGACTAGATGAGCTTAAATAATTTGTGTAAAGTCAAATGGACAAGCAATTTAATTATAACTTGCTCAAATCCAAAAGGCATGCTCATAACCTATGCTATCCTGCTTCTGTCAGGATGTTCACCTGAGCACTTTCTAGAATCATGAAGAACTGAAAGTAATCTACAGATCTGAGAAGAGGAGGCTAATTAAAATGTTATAGTACATCTATACAATATATGATCAAAAAAAAAAACCACTACACTTTAGAAGAATGTAACAGAAAATAGACACTATACTGTTATGTGAAAGAAGATTGCTAAAAAGCAGCATATATGCACCATGTGATTTCTAAGCATTTTTTGTTATATGATAGAATACTACATTTAAAAGATTGACAGTAATATGATAAAATAGTCAATAAAGATTATCTATAGTCTGAAAGACTTATTTTCTTCTTTGCTACTATAACTTTTAATCAGAAAAAAAGGTATTTAAAATCTGTACATGAAGAGACAGACATATACTGAACATGCATAGACAGAGCTACCTATATTTTTTAAATGCTGAATCTAACTTTAGAAAGATTTACCATCACTTAACATTCATGGGGAGAAAAAACCAAACAGTACACACATGGAAGCCACTCTACTTCTAGGAAGCTGTAAATCTTCTTCCTCTTCACACTCTTCAAAGACATGGATCAAGGGCAGCTCTTGGGATGACACTAGCAGAAGGCCACATAGCATATGCTATGAGAAATTCTGGCAAGCATTCTTAAGAAATTCGATTCTGCAAAATCAAAGTCTGGCTCTTCTATTCCTCCTCCCACCTAATGCCCCCCAACTTGAAGCTATCAAAGGAAGCTTCTGGTTTTGCTTAATTCTAACTCTCATTTTCAATAATAAAAATGCACTCTTCCACTTTGAGGGACTCTGACCAATAATCCAAATCTTAGTACCTGGTACATAATACAGCATCCAGTGAATACAGAATGAAGGAATAGTGACTGAATGGTTCATACTCAGCCCAGCCGTGTCAGGGAGAGGTTTTGGAGTATGAGTCATATTTTTTTTACACTCTTGGCTAACCCAGTCTGGTACAAGTATGAAGAACTGATGAAGATGAAGGGAGACATGACTCTGCCTTCAGGTCTGGAATTTCTCTGGCCTTAATGGGTGATCCCTCAGTTCCAAAACCCAAACAGTTCAACTTAACTGATGGTGAGAATCTCAGATATCCTTCTCAACACTTTTGATTAGATCTTGCACTGTGGTCACCTCTCAACTCTGGTTGAACCTCAGTTTGGAACCCAGTCTATCTCTAATGTCCTCCTGGCAGAGACAGATGGCCTTGTGACTTTCAGCTGTTGGTTATTAGTTTCTCATGACATTTCTCAGATGTTCATGATTATTTTGTCTGTCCCTAGGAAAACTGACAAAGCAAGCAGGACAAATATCTTGTTCAAAGGTCACTAAGAGAAGTGATAAAAACAAGATCTTTTCATACCACTCTTTGCTTAGCACATGTGAGCTAAGATGGTTGGTTCTCTTTTAAATTAGCAACCCTGTCTAAAATGTGGTATTTCTTTTCAGTAGTGTCATCTTACACAATCATCTGCTGCCTTTGAAATATCTCTGCCCCTTTGACTCTCCTGTATTTAGTTGGTTACATGGTCCTGTTGATTCTCTTTCTCCAGTCATTTTGAGGTTGTCCTTTCTTCCTGATCTCAGAGCAGCTCTCTGGTTCAGCAGGTCATCATGTATGCTCTGCCTAATCTATCCCAACTGTCTTATTCCTCCATGTGTTTCCAAGATCACATGCATGCTCCATAATGCTGCCAGCATTATTCACCTAAAAGTAGCATCTGACCAAGGTATACCTATGTTGACCATATACTTAAAAAAAAAAAATCACCCAGAAGCATTATTCCGGAAGGCACTCCCCCATCATTCTATTAATAATCCTGCTCAGTCCCCAGGATTCTGTGGACCAAACCCTTTCCCACCCCACCCCTGCACACCCACCAACCTCCCAGAGGTGGTGTGGGATCAGAGACAAGCAAAGGATCCAGGCCACTGGGATCTATCTGCTGTAGGCCATGCAACTGGCCTGAAGACTGTGAAATGAATCACACTCATGGCCCCATATCAATCAGTCAAAGTCCACCCTTGGGACCTTCTGTCAAAATGATCAAGAAAGACACTCTCTACTCAGTGATGCAAGTTCCAAGGACCACTGAGGCTGGTTTATCTATGAATCTTCCTGCAGAGAATATGGCAGAGAATATAGGAAGACAAGGGCTCACAGGCAATGAGACACCAGAAAAAAGGAATGGGAAAGGCTGCAACGAATGTGGAGCCCCCAGACCACGCCATGCTCCTGCCATCTTGGACTCACCAGTAATGTGAGCAAATAAACACCTGTTCTGAATTGTCTTCTTGACACTTTTGTGTAAAAAGAGTACTCACACAAACAACTCCACTACTTGAAAATTTAATAGCATCTTACTTCCTACAGAGGAAAAAAAAAACCCTGAACTCCTCAGAACAATATTCAAGTTCCTCAATCAAAGGGACCATCTCAGATTTCCAGCTTTAATTCTCCTGTTCCAGTCTCAAGTATTTTCAGATACTAAAATAATAATAATGAAATCAATACTCTCGGTTCATAACATTTCCTGAATCTGAATTATTCTTCTGTTCTCCCTCTACTACTCAGACCTTCAGACCCAGCTCCTAGTGGGCACCAGCATCATATCTTACATAACAATTTTCATATGCAAGCATAACTGCCCCCTAACTGGATACTCTGCGAACAAGGAATGACTCTATAAAGTTTCACCTCTAGCACCTGACCATCTCTTTCAGAGAGCAGACACTCCACAAATGTATGCAGCTCTGATGGGAAATGAAAGACTAAGGATAGATACCTGTTAAGACTCTTCATTCTTTTTTACACTAAAACTTTTCAAAAATTAACCGTATTACTGTACAATCCAGCAACTGCACTCTTGGGGACTTATCCTACAGAAACAAATTAATCTTCATTACTTTGTAATTTTATACACTGTACAAAAACCTGTACAGTGTTTACAGTTGTTTTATTCGCCCCCAGACTAGAAACAATCCAGTCATCCTTCATTGGATGAATGGCTAAACAAACTCAGGTGCATCTACACCATGGAATATTACTCAGCAAAAGAAAAGAACTCTTGATACACAAGACAACTTGAACAAATCTCAAAGGAATTTCGCTGACTGAAAAAAAGCCAATCAAAAAAAATCAAAAAAGGTCAAACAGTATATGATTCCATTTAAATAAAAACTTTGAAATGACACATTCATTCCTAGTTTTTTGGGCTTCCCTGATAGCCCAGCCAGTAAAGAATCTTCTGGCAATGCGGGAGGCCTGGGTCTGGAAGATCCCCTGGAGAAGGGAATGGCTACTCACTCCAGTATTCTTGCCTAGAGAATCCCAGACAAGAGAAGCCCGGCAGGCTACGGTCCATGGGAATGCAAAGAGTTGGACACGACTGAGAGACTTACACCTTCTTTGAAATGACAACAAAGAAACAAACAGAAAACAGATTAGTGGTTGCCAGGAGTTAAGAATGGGGGTGAGGGGGGAGGTGAGGCAGAAAAGGGCAGCCATAAAAGGGATCCTTGCAGTGACTGACCTGTATCTTGATCACATCAATATCTTGGTTGTGATACTGTATTATAATCTACTATTAAAGTGGGTTAAAGTACTCAGGATTGCTCTATGTCTTGTAACTGCACGTGAATCTACAATTTTCTCAAAATAAAAAGTTAGTTAAAAAAAAAAAAAAACACAAAACACTAGCTACATCTCAAATCTGAACCAAAAATTAGATTCTCAGTGCAAGAGTACCTCACAATCAATCATAGTTTCCAACAAAAGATCTCACGGCAACTATCATACATTAGAGTTTTGCTTAAAAGAGGTGAGAAGAAAAGAGAATTTTCCTGATCAATATGAAAGAAGAGTCTTCTTTACACATAAAAATTATTTTCAGAAACTGGGATGGCAAAAAGAAATGACAAGTACTAACAAAGAGAAGTGTCCCTGCCCAAAACACTGAGCGTGGACCCTGAGCAAGTCTATCTCTAACAGTGCACGGCTGGACTTCCATGGGGATGAGTAAGAGGCACCAATCTGTGAAATCTGATCCGTTTGCCATTTAGAGCCATGTGACTCACCAAGGCTGCCTGCATTCATATCTAAAAATACAGGAAATCTGCAGCCTAGGCAAATTTGGCTCATTGGCTCAGGGCTTTTTGATTCAAATGCTACACATTTAGAGATAGTGATTTTATATTTATACCAACCAGCTGCAAAGGAGGTTCTGCTGCTCAAATGACAGAGACTAGGTGGAAGTCTAGAAGGAAAGAGGATCAGAAGACTTATCTGCTTCTATACATTTATCTGGAAGTCACAGGATGACACTTTCTCAGTCACTGGGAACATGAGATCTGAAGTTCTCTGCAGGCCAGAAGAATGAGCTTTCTTAGGCAAATGGGTGTGCCCCATGAAATGCTGGTCTTCAAAGAGGACAAAGGGAGTGTCATGAGCTATTACAGACAGAGTAGGGTGTGCCAGTCGCACGCAGTGGAGCATCACTTGGACTGGTGGCAACCAACTCTACAGACAGAGAGGGTGTGCTGCCTTGGACCTGCCATTTTTTGTTTTATCTAGTTCCACTCAGTATCTCCTCCAGTAATGCCTCAGGCCATGACCACTGGCGAGCAGGACAGTTGATATTTGTGAATTACCTCTTGGACACACAAATTCCTTCTCAGGAGGCTCCCCCTTCGACCCTTGGGAACTGCCTGGCAGAGCCCCTGCACTCACCCATCAAGACGCTCAGCAGCTTCTGCACTCTGGAATTGACCCCCACAATTCGGTAGAGCCCTTGCTCATTGATCCCTGAGAAGAGAAACAGTGAAGATTTAATTAGAGGCACGTCAGAACACTAGTCAGGCCAACCCAGCCAAATTCACTTTTTTTATTTTCTCAGGACTTCTAAAAGCTTCTCTAATTAAAATTCCCTGTCACTCAGCTCTGCTCTTAGCGAAGGAGAGGGATTTGGTACAGCTGTCTAGGATTTCATGGATGTGCTGCACACTTCAGTCCTCATGTTAGTTCAGTCGTCACAGAGCACGAAACTGCCCTCTTCTCTTGCCAAGGTAGCATCTGAAGAGTTTTGAAAGATGTGAAATATACACTTCTACATATGTCATATTTAACCAGCTTTTTCATTTAAAAAACCAAAAACGCAACGATAAAATAAGTTCACACTACAGACAAGGATAAACACTTTATAATCTATTTTTGCATACAGAATGCAAATACTGAGCTGTTGGGGCATTTTATATTTTGGACAATGTTATCAGCTAAGGCTGAGAAATTAGTCAATTCATTCATCTGTGGTGCAAATTTCTTTATAAAGAAAAATGTCGACCACCTTTATTGTACCCAAGGAAACACGCAAATAGACTAGAAGGGGTTCACCTTCAACACCCAAACAAAGAACCAAAGCTAACCAGCCTCAGTGCTTGCTCATTTAACTGCAAGGATTAGATCACCACTGCATCCTTTACATCCAGACCAAGTGGAATGACGCAGTGAAATGACATTTTTCCTGCTGGTCCCAAGCCCAGTATATCTGACACTTCTCAACTAACTGGTCTCCTGCTGCCTCTTATTCCCCTGATGGCTATCCTCTACATAGTACTCAAAAGGAGCTTCTCAAAGTGTCAGTCAGTTCAAATCATCTCTTTTCTTAAAATCTTCCAATGATTTCCCACTGCATTTGGATCACAATCAAAATTTACCATGGCCTGTAAGGCCCTACACAGTTGAGCATAGGCCCACCTCTGACTGCTTTATCACACATGCCTCCAGCCATGTGTGCCTTCCTGTTACTCCAGCATGCAAAGCTCATGCTCCCAAACCACAGCCTCTGCACAGGATTCCCTCTACCTGGAGCATTCTTCTCCCAGATCTTTTCACCACTGAGGTGTCAGCTTACATGCCACCTCTTCAATCAAAAACATCCCATGACCAGCACTATTCTCCACTGCCTTAACCAGTTTTCTTTTTTTTATAGTAGTCAACAGTATCTGAAATCATCTTTATTATTCAATTTCTTGTTTGCTTTCCCCCCACAATTACCACATAAACTTTAAGTACAGTGAGTCCATCTTCTTCACCATTATATCCCCAGTACCTAGGTAAGTCTACAATTTAGGACAGAATGAATAGAACATTCATCAGGGCCACTACTTTGGGACCAAAACAAAATTTCCTGGAAGAAATCTGGGAAAAGGCTGACTGCAGTGTCTTCAACAAGGCCTTCAGAGAAATGGAACTAATAAACAAAAGGAAGTAGTCCAGAATGGTAAGATATTACAGCTCAAATGGACTACATAAGCATGGACATTATCCTGCATGGTTCATGGGCTAGGAGACCCTGGGTCTCCTGAGGGATGAGCCTCAAGTGACTGAGTAGCAGAACCATTATTCAGTCATGTGGTGGCTTGAAGGGCTTATCGTTTCTGCAACATCTCCACCCCTTCTGTCCCTGTGCTTTCCTAGAGCTTCACAGTCTTCTAGCTTCTAGTGGATGACTGCCGAACCTCAGCATGCATGAGAGGTCTGTTCACTCACCTCTGGTCACCACCAATGGTGGTGGTGTGCACATACATGCACCGCAGTAAGGAGATAACCCACTTCCTCCCAAGCATTTATGAGAAAATGGCATTTAACTCACACTGTCCTTGTTTCCTCTTTGTGTTAAAACTTCTTTAGATGTTAAAATATATCACATTCATTCTCATTTTAGAGGGGGTGGGGACGAGGAGATGGAGGCTAAAAGATCAAACCAGTTGGTGACCCTCTTCTTCCTCTACAACTCAATGCACATATTTTCTGGTTTTACATCAGGAAAAAGTCACCCACTTGAGCTGTGGGTTTGCATTCATCACATAGACTATGAAGGAGTTTAAATGATTAGGAGATGTTGCTCTCAGTTTTGGCGGCTGAAAACTGAGAGACAAAGAGGCTGGCCCACCTCTGCAGGAATTTGAACTTCATCATGGAGAGGAGGGGAGCTCACTTTTGGCTCCATTTTTATACTTTTACCCTTGTTAATCCTGCCATGCTGCAGCCCATGGGGTCACAAAGAGTTAGACACGACTGAGCGACTGAACTGAACTGAACCCTGTACCTCTTCTTTCTCATTCCTTTAAAATGACAAGCAAATCAAAACGCCTATTGGAAAATTACCTTAGTAACACACTTTAAAAAGTATCAAAAGTGCAGTTATGGAAAACAGACAAATCCAAGGAAGACAGTGAAGGACAGCAGAATCTGCCACTCAACACAAGTTGCCCATGCAAGCATGATCTTTCCTCTCCTTGCCGTCCCCAGGATGGGTTCAGAGTGGACAGGATGGTTCAGAACTTGCATTTTTCACTTAATATACATTAATGAAAACAATAGATTTCAATAAATATATTTCTACTGCATTTTTCACTAAAAATTCAGAGTGTTTTACTGTATGGATGTAGCACATTCTTGGTTTAACAAATTTTTGAGACATTTGGCCAATTTCTGTTTTTTGTTTTGTTTCTTACCTTAACACTACTGTATAAACATCTTTATGGCTCAACCTGGCCCATGACCTTATTTCCTCAAGATCAATTCCCAGAAATCTCACTTTCTTCTATTTTATATTCTCTGGCTATGTTTTACAAATCTTTGCAACTCTTTATTAAAGGAAGGTATAGCAGAAATAAGCAAACTTAAAATAGCACACATTAAAATGATTACTTTGGAAAGCATAAATTTGGACTAGATGCACAGGAGTAGAGGTTTATATGGTTAGTCAGTTTTTTTTTTCTTCTTCCCCTCTACTCAATGCTTCATAGCCTTTAATAAAATGCTTATATTTCTAAACTTTTAAGAGTTAAGGATCCTGTTTTAGAAAACAGAACTTCCTCAGACAAAGGGCTGGAGGGTTGAGATGTTGGAAAATCAATAAGATTCCCATCTTTGACAATGGTTCAAATCAAATCCAGTGGAAAGACAATGATCAGCTTTCCTCAGGAATGTAACAGACAATGTACTCAAAAGCTTGAAACTGCCAGAATTGAGGAATCTCCTCTGAGACAGAGACCACTGACAAACCAGCCTCTCTGACCTCAAAGTGCTGCTCCTATGGACCCGGAAAGGTCACCGTGTGAAACAGCACCACTGCAGAAACCAGGGGCCTGACCCTTTCTCCTTACCTAGACAGTGCCCTGGGCTGAATTCCTAATCTGGGGCCCACAACCCCAAGAAGCCCACTAGAGAATTCAGGGTGTCTATCAACTTAGGAAAACTATCACAACTTAATTTCCACCTATAACTGAAATTAAACATTTCCTTCCATTACAACATAAGCAACAAATCACAGCTTTAGCAGTATATGCAACTTGCTTGGAAACCAAAGATATTTTCCTAACATGTTACAACTGTCACTGACATCCTGAACTATCACTGTTTCTGAATTATGCTAGCTATCAGACCCACTGCCGGAACCTGATGTGTAAACAAAGAATCACATATATTATTATATCACAACCATGGTTTTTAGTATTTTAACCGAATTTCAGTAACTTCAGTAGCTTCCCTGGTGGCTCAGAAGGTAAAGAATCTGCCTGCAATGCAGGAGACCTGGGTTTGACCCCTGGGTTGGGAATAACCCCTGGAGAAGGGAATGGCTAGCCACTTCAGTATTCTTGCCTGAAGAATTCATTGGACAGAGGAGCCTGGTGGGCTACAGTCTACAGGTCCACAAAGAGTCAGACATGACTGAGTGACTGACTAACACACATCAATAACTAGATTCCTTATAATTCTATGTATTTGATATGCATGCATTTAAAACAGTCTTTTGATTAGCTGAAAAGGTTGATGACACCAAATGAACCAAATCAGCTGAGAGCCCCTGTGCTTCAGAACAACACAAGCTGTGGAACACATTGCCAATGGCGTTTGGGGAGTTAATGAGTCACTAGAGGTTGGGAAACAGCAGGTAGCAGGTCTGCCACCTCACCAGATGTGTGACCTTTGCTGAGAACAATGCCATCTGCTGAACTATTTTACCTCTGGTTTCCACAGCATGGATGCATTTCCTGATGATGCTGAAACCAATGCTGTCCAACTGTGCAGCTGAAAGAGGAAGAAGAAGGCAGTCAAGTTGCTGGCCACACATATACCAACCCCGGAACAGCGCTTGACCAACCCAGCATGACTCAGTCCCATGGCGTTGCCAAGGATTCTTTTCTTTTTTTCCACTGAAAGTACAAGAATGATTCAAAATTTAAAACTGCTAGCATTCACAGAGAGCTTACCATATGCCAGGTACAGTTCAAAGTGCTTTGCACATATTACCTCATTTAATTCTCATGGTAACTCTCTGCAAGGTTATTGTCTATTAACAGCAGAAGAAACACAGCACAGAGTGATGAGTACTTTACTGAAGGAGTAACCAGGCAAACTTTAACTTGTTTTGCTGTTGTCAGGAGCTGTAGGACTAACTGTGTGCTGGTCTCCTTCAAAAGGCATAAATAAAAGACTATACTACCCAAAGCAATCTATAGATTCAATGCAATCCCTATCAAGCTACCAACGGTATTTTTCACAGAACTAGAACAAAAAATTTCACAATTTGTATGGAAATACAAAAACCTCAAATAGCCAAAGTAATCTTGAGAAAAAAGAATGGAACTGGAGGAATCAACCTGCCTGACTTCAGACTCTACTACAAAGCCACAGTCATCAAGACAGTATGGTACTGGCACAAAGACAGAAATATAGATCAATGGAACAGAATAGAAAGCCCAGAGATAAATCCACG